CAAGTGCTCGCTGATCACTCTATTTGTTTCAATTAAAAAGCTGGTACCGATGTGACCAAGCCTTCCTCTTGTATTACACATTCTCAACGATTATTATTTATTAACCACAAACGATATATCCTTTTCAATGAATCAAACGATCGTGCCACTACGTACATTTAAATTCATCTCCGATTATTCGTATAAAGAAATAAATTTCTAATGATTGATCATTTTTAATCTGATAAAATTTATATAAAATCCATAAGCTCAATAAAATCGATAATATTAATAATACGTGTCACTTAATCATCTTATCAATCATAAAGAATCACGTTCGTTTATATATTGTCGAAAGTTAATTACATAGACGGTGTTATGGCTCGTTATCGAGCGTTTCAAAACGATGATCGTAGTCCGTTCCTAGAATCGTGCGAAATAGAAATGACAGAAGGAATGATTTATGTTTCCGTGGCTCGTGTAGAAAGCGTAATTCTAATTATGCGGAGAGTATCCCATTGCAGATTTATGAGGTCGTACGTACAAGTGTACGATGTTTCGCATGCCCCCTTTTACCTTCCCCTCCCTCCCTCTTGCCCCCCCCCTAATGCTAGGAACCGCGAGAACCACTCCATTTACATATGAATTAAACTATTACGTCGTTGCATCTTCGATCCTTCTCCCTTTCATAGATCAAAATGAGCACGTATGCGAGATACGCGTGCTCGTCGACTAACCGGAGAAGAGAATACTTCAGAAAATTAATTAGCCAAGCCTTTGAAAATCGTCGATAAATCGTTCTCGCTCTTTTTGCGTCTCTCTCTCTCTCTCTCTCTTTTCTCTTTCTCTTTCTCTCTTTCACTCGTCTTTTACGATCTTACGAAATTATCGACGTTCGTCTTATCGACGAGAAATAGAAAAGTGAAATAGAGTTATTTAATATCCCTTGTATTCGTCACGAGTTCCCAAAATACCCCTTTGACTTCATCCTCGATAAGTACAAATCCGCACTCTAATGGAAAGTTCTTAAATATTTGAGGAGACGACCCCGACGTTCATATATAGGGTGTCTGAATTGCGTGTCGTTCGTGAAGCCCGATCCGATATAATGTTAAAATAAAATCACAGATTTTTCGCGTTTGTTTATCATTAAAAAAAAAAAAAAAAAAAAAAAAAAAAAGAAAAAAAAAATGTTTCTCGGACGCATAAAGAAAAAAAAATAAAATAGAGGAGAAAAAAGAAACGAAAAGATATTAATTCCTTTTATGGTTATCTTTTTTTTTCTCTTTTGTTTTTTTTTTTTTTTTGTTTTTTTTTTTTTTTCTTTTTTAATAAAATATGAACGATGGACAAGACGGGGAACATTTTAAACGATCATCCCGTGGCTCGCTACGAGCGCGATATGGTGGCTTTGTCTGTCCTCGTTGCTAGACCGTAATCAATAACCAAGATGGCCGTGGTCGAGAGAGAGAGAGAGAGAGAGAGAGAAAAAGAGAGAGAGAGAGTAAGAGTAAGAGAGAGAGAAAGAGAGAGAGAGAGAGAGAGAAAGAGTGAACGAGAGTGAGAGAGAATGGGAGAGAGAGAGAGAGAGAGAGAAGAGAGCTCGGTGTAAAACACTCACGGCGTATTTAATATTGCAAGAGACACGAAGTAACGCGCCCTTTCCTCGATTCTCCTCGGCCGAGACAACGAGCAAACCGAGTCAGTCACTCTCAGTCCCGGTACCAACAAATACACATACATACATACATATAAACGTTCCATTCGAATCGAAAAATAATATCAATTATGAAATCATATTTTTACATTCTAATTTCTTATATGATATTATTAAAGATTCTAAATCTTAGATACATAAATAAATCTTTCCTTACCTTAAATATCTACTTAAATATATACTTATATTGTTTACCTATCAGGTAAACAACAACAATACGATACACGAGGGATGGCGGAGAGGAGATGGGAGGGGCGAAGGGGCGAAGAGGTAAATAACATTATCGTTAATACATGGAAATTCTCAATTTGGTTGAAAGTCACGTGACAACGCGGATTCTCTCAGAATCGGATGATCAAAATGCCTACTAGGCCACATTGGTATACGAAGGACCCTTCGTAAGCACTCCATGCAGTGTCGTACTAATTGCGGCGCGGATGGTGGTTACTGCTCCTCGGGGTTCATCCCCAATGGCGTAGAAACGAAATTCGTTGGATACCATTGGCTCTTGACTCTAACGAGCAGACAGTGCCATTCTTGGCTACGCCATCGTCGTTAAAGGGTCACGCTCGAGTCGCTCGAGCAAAGCGTTCGTCGGACAAACATTAGCCCCGTTACAAGATGCTTGGCAATTATGGGTGATTAATGTTGGCGATTAAAGAAACGCGGTGAAAACAGTGCGCTCCTAGTTTCAGTAAAATACTTCTAAAATATTGTTTTCTCCTTACTTTATTGTACTTTCTTAAAGGAGAATATAGAAATGAAAGAAGATAAAGAAAGAAAAATCTAGAAATAATCGAGACGATTATTAAAAGAAGTAGAAAATATTTCAAACGAATTAACATTTCTTTCCCTTACTTTTTTTTTTCTTTTTTTTTTCTCTTTACTTTCGAATGAATAAATTTCTCTTTTCGATGAGGACATCCTTTATGTCTTTTGAAAAAAAAAAAAAAAAAAAAAAGAAAATGAATTAGATATAAAGAGAGAGAAGAAATGAAATCTCATTTTTTTCTTCAAGCCATAACCAATAGTATCTCGGTCCAAGCCATCTATACGAATTTAAAGTACAATACTTTTTGAAAGAGTACTCTCTTTATCTCTCTCTCTCTCTCTCTATATATATATATATATATATCTCTGCCGCCCCTTCCTATAACTTCAAATCTAAACCCGTTGAGGGTTCAATGATTTATATCTACCCGAAGATGTAAGAAAGAGGGAGAAAACTAGTGGGGAAAAAAAAGATGAAAAAGAAAGAGAGAGAAAGAGAGAAAGATAGATAGAGTGAAAGAGAGAGAGAGAGAGAGAGAGAGAGAGAGAGAGAACAGGCACCCCAAACTCGCGTGTCCGCATATCGTTTATCCCGTATTTATTTCCCAAAATTTGAAAATTATACCACATTTAAGGGGAAACCTTACGAGATATGCAGGAGACTCGTTCAAAAGCTGTTTGTGGTCTATAGATCATGCGATGCTCCATTAATATCGCTAGAAAAGGATCGCTAAAAATTTTACGAAATATTGAAACAGGAAATGCAATTTATCATAGAAATAATCACGTCCTTTCCCTTCAAAATTGTTTTACCTTTAACTAATAATTATAATAATAATAATAATAAAAATAATAATAATAATAATAATAATGACGATTATAAAAATTATTTACGATTAAGATCGAACGATATATTACAATATATAGCCATGAGCATGTTTTCTGGAGAGACAAATAAAAAATGGTTATTGATGTTGGAACGCTTGTGAAAAGAGAAAAAAAAACGAAAAAAGAAAAAGAAAAGAAAAAAAACAGAAAAGAGAAAAAAGAAGAAAAGAAAAGATAAAAAGGAAATAGTTTTAATCGATGCAACCTCTTTGCCGAACCGACCTTTGGTTAAACGCACACGTTGCACACCTATATAAATTCTTAGAACTGGTCTTGCCAAGAAACACTGGAATGTACGCAAAAAAAAAAAAAAAAGAAATAGAAACAAAAGAAAAAAAGAAAAGAAACACATAACGGAGACTGTAGATGGATTAGTTTTTTTTTCCTTCGTGAATGAGAACCGAAATTAAATATCGAGGATCTTTAGAAGCACTAATACTTCCTGCAACAGATAATTGCAATAAAAATTCTTTAATGCATTCGTCTAAAACAATCTTTATTCACGATGAACGATCGAACGTATATTTATGCTTTTAATATAATGCGACGTCTGTCAGCACGATGCGATATAAACAGATGCTAATTAGGGTATCTGTCTACTTAAGACTTATTTGTTATGTTCCCTTTTTTTTTCTCTTTTTCTCTCCTTGTCTACTTCTTTTTTTACAACTATTAAGTTATATATTGCAACAACGTGAAATAATTGATACGCTGATAATGATCTATTTCTTATAATACTTATCGAAAAAATCTGTATATCGTGTTCAATACATTTTTCAATGCATTTTTTACTTTCATTTTCGTTTCCTTTGTTCCATCTCTCTCTCTCTTTCTGTGTCTCTCTCTCATTTGAATTATTTGCATAAATTCCTTATGAGATTTTCCTTTAAAAGTAAAAAAAGAAAATAAAAAACAGCGAATAAATGATTATAAATAATGATAATAAATAATCATTTATTCGCGATGTTTACGCAACAAAAATAAATGATAAAAAATAAAGAAAAGAAATAATAATAATTGATAATATCAGGAAACAATTAGCACGTCAAAATAAAATCACTAAATTAAAAATAATTAATATCAATATCATTACAATTATCAAAGAAAAAGATGATTTATACAATCCATTAATGTATTACGATTCAATGTAATGTCGATTCGAATCGCATCGAAAAATTACGATCTTTTTGGCGAACTGTAAATGCGAGCAATCTCGTGTGTAAAAAATATTTTCGAAAAATATTTTCAAAAAAATATTTTCGTAACATTACATTTGTATAAATATGAAAATTTAACGATTGTAAAATATATTTACGTATAACGTTTTATCAAAATGTACAATTTATTATTAAACATTACGCTATTATGCAAATTTCATATATGTTCATAATCTCTTTTCGATCATTTTATAATCACAAAATAAATATGAATGTTTATATAACGAAATATTAAAAAAAAGAGAGAGAGAGAGAGAAATGTATGTCATATAAAATAAAAAAAATTGTACTAATTGAATATGAAATAAAATCAAGACAAGACTGAAACAACAAATAACGTTAAGAATATCGAGATCATACGCTTTTACCGGTATTTTGTACTCTCCCTTGGCTACTTTTATTTAATTTTTTTCATGTTATTATCTTACCCGAAGAGAAATACAGCAGCTTAGCTATGAGGTATGTTAAATCGCCCTCCGTTGTCCACCGACGTCGGCTTTTAGATGCAATCTTCTCGGCCCTCGCTCGATGACCGCTTAAATAATAGATTTTACGACGTCGTGACCAAAGTAGCCGCATAATGTAACTCCCTGGGGTATTACTGCAAAACGTATGCAAATACGTATTATTAAAATTAAAATTTCGCCTAATACATCGTATATTTTAAAGATCTTTTAAAAATGACTACAATTATTATATAGAAATTTGTGAATGTAAATGTAATAAAGTCAAATTTTTCATAATATCGTTGAGGAAATAATATAGAACGGGTTATAATAATGGCGAAAGCGCAACACCGGACAGCTTATTAATTTTTCGGAGAGGAGAAGCATCTCCCTTTAGAACCAATACCTACTTTAGAGATAGAAGGAACGGCCCTTGGCAGATGGTACCCGAGGGGATATCCTTGTCCCGGATATCAAGGGTTACCCACCGGCACGGGGACACCAAACGCGCCCAAGTAAAGGATAACTGATTCTAATCACACGCCCTCAACGGTGTAACCTAGCGCGGTTATATGATGAATGAGCCAAGTGCGCCGTGACTACCGAATATACAAGGCAATTTTGCTTGCGATGATTAAAATTTTCAAGATCGATCTATCGAGCAAGAGCATCTCGAATCGTCCCTCTCAAACGTTTCCCAATTCCTAAAGGCATTGCTATTTCGCGTTATAGTAAATACCTTCTAGATTATGTTACAACGATTAATTCGACAATCGATAAATATCTATCGTACGTATTTTCCTACCTCATACTTTCAAATTTTACCATTGACAATGATTTTCTTAACTGAATGCCTTCGAATGCCTAGAAACTTCTCTAATACAAATCTCATTTATCTCACGTTTACTGATAGGAAAAAAAATCTTTCTATCTTTTTCCCTATATATAGTACGTTATCTACTACCGAAATCATTATATCGAAACTTCTCCGGGATTTTCATTGAAAGCAGTTTAAAAAAGCGAACGAGTCTGGTACACTTCGCGAATCGTGTTTATAGAAGCCCGACATGCCAACACTCTCTCGCGCCAACCAATTCAATTTAGATCGCAATCTCGATTTCGCGCACGCCAATAAAAATATACAGTTCGAGCGCCGTATGAATTACGAGCCGGCGTATTAAAACCGTGTGCAATTTTCTATCTGATTTCGGGAAACTGCATTTTAGAATCGTACTCGTTTCCACTCTCATATAATAAATTTTTCTGTTAACAATCGCCCGAAGGTTATAAGCCCGAAAATGCGCTCGCGTGCGAAAAATTAGTTATGCTCTGGTGGTATAACAACACCGCAAAATGTTTAAATTAATCGTCACGCGATTCGAATCGTATACGTTTGAATTAGTAGAATTGAAAGAAATTGGCACGTTGTTTTTCGCATTCCTTTTTTTTCTGTTTCTCCTTCTTTTTTTTTCTTTTTTTTTTTTTTTTAATTCTTTTTTGGTTACTTTTTTCCGTTGTCCTTTCGTCTCGTTCCGCTCGTGATGATCACTTCAAAAAAAAAAAAGAAAAAGAAAAAGAAAAAAAAAAGAAAGAAAAAAAAGAAAAAAAAAAGTAAATAGATAATTATCAAAGAAAGTTCTCGATTTATCGAGAATAACGAAGGAAAGACTATGTCAGCGCACGAATGTTCACGCTTCCGGGTCAAATGTTCGACGAGAATATCGCGAAGTAGAAGGGCGGGCAAGTGACTCCTTTTTTCAACGCCGGAGACATCTTTGACCTAGATAAGATCAACTGGATTCCCCATTCCCCTTCTCCCCTCCGCCCTTCCTCGCTCTTAAGACTACTATCGAGGGTTTCCAAGTGGAAGGGGAGATGATTCAGAGATATCGCTCGACATAAAACCCTTAAGGTTCAAATTTGCATGTTACAACCTGTACCCCATCTTCCCGTTCCTCCCGGGCGTCGACTTTTCGGCCGCTCGTATGTCCCTGCTAGCGCTCCTGCCAAACCCCAAAGCTCAGCTTTATCCCTGGTATTTTGAATGTAAGATTCCCGTCTTCCTCCATCTTCCTCCATTCCATTCGTATTCTCAGTCGTCCCTACGTATCTCTTTCTCCAACACGAAAGAGTCCGCCCTTCGGTCATTTCGAGGATTTCGCATTTAAGCCATCTTGTTTATAGGTAGGATTTTCTCACCGTTGATATCGAGAAATTCCCTCGATCGTTCTTTAAAAATGAGAAGTACAGAAGAATAAATAATCCATCGATACTCTATCAATTTTATTTATAAATCATTGCACTAACTTTTCTTTCCATAATATTAACATTTTATATATAATGCTTTGACAAAAAGTAATGCTCATTTAAAAGAATAAAATAGTTAAGTATAAGCCATTGGAATAAATCATTTGAAGAGTTAATTATCTCGTTGCTAATAAGGGAGAGAAAAGTGAAAAGAAAAATGAAAAGGAACGTTCCGGATAGAAGATAAACCTCGTACATATATATATATATATACAAATATATATGTAAATATATGTATATATATATATATTTATATACACATATCTATATCAAAAAAGGGGTGAGAGAGTATGGCATTGCTCGATCATCGCGTTAAGTGAGTACCGTACTAATTGAGATCTCTACGTCGCGCCGGTACTGTTATATACCCAACGTGCCAAACAATAACTATTTACTTAAGGCCACCCCTTCTGTTTGCGCAGGCTGCGCGAAAGCACGAGTTGGTCGGAGAGAACGAAGCAACGCTTTGGGGAAATTCGCTGTTGCTTTCGATTCGTACTGATACCGTTACCGATGATACTATTGCTGCTACTATTGCTGTTGTTGCTACTATTGCCGACGTTACCGGTCTTGGCTTTCGTTGAGTTTCGGTGTCGCTTTCCGCCTTTCCTATGAAGAAACTCGAATCTACCGTTCAACATCGAAGGAGGACTTTAAATTAAAGGACGTCGCGTCGTTGGCTCTACTCAAACAAACTCCAGAGAACGTTGTTTACTTATACTTCGACAAATTGAACCCCCACAACTGTACGTCTACTACGTCGAGCGTCTTTCATTACTCTATGCCCTTGCTTTTTCTTTTTTCCTTACGTAGCTCTCGTAATAGTTTATCGAAAACCGAACGGAACATACTTTTTCTTTCTTCCTCGGTACGTCTCTTTCTAAAAACAATTTGATTTTTTCAACAGGAATTTTCTATTCCCTTTGAAGAAATGAATTATCGTTGTACACGTTTATACACGTTAATTTCGAAGAGCTAATGATTTTCTATTTTTTTACAAAACAATTTAATCCTCTATGAGCCGAATTTTTGTTTTAAATTAATTTTCATTTCTGTTTATGCGCCATCTCATGAAAAATGCTATAATTATTTGGTAAAATCATGGATAAATTAAAATGTGACCTAAAAGTTACACGGGCCGATAGAGGGTTAAAAAAAAAAAAAAAAAAAAAAACGAAAAATAAATTCATATAAACATATTACGTATATATTTGTTTCCGAGTTATATATAAGTCCCTTTGTTAATACATTGTATCTGTTTATCTTCGAAAGAGCTATTCGAAATGTTCCTTACATCTGAAGATGTTTTATCATTGACTTTCTTGACCTTTCCATATCTTCAAGTATGTTTTCAAACATTTGTTCGGATTTTCTGAAAGGCTTTTTCAATTATCTCACGAAATATTTCGATATTGTCAATGAATGTTTTACACGCAATGTATTTAAATAGTCTCACGAGTAATGATCGATCGGATTTACGTCAGATATTGAATTATATTCTATCTCTCGATATAATTATATCAACGTGAAATCAATCCTATAACTTGAAACTAAGGTTAAATAGAACATATGTTTACATGAATTTTTTTTTGTTTTCTTTTCTTTGTTTTCATATACGGAATTTCTTCGAAAGCGATTTCTTCGAAGCTACGTAACATATATACATATATTTACGTAACATATGCATTATGATAATAACTACTGTTCATTTATGTTATGTAAACGTTTATACAGGGTGAGACATTTAATACAGAACACCTGAATAACGTCGTTATTTTTGATTTTATGAAAAAGATCTTCAGAACAAAATTAACATTATTGAGCTTTTAAAGAAATCATGATCGCGTATTTATATATAGAATTTATATAAAGCATTCATCTTCTTCCTCTAACATTTTTTTTTTTTTTTTTTTTTTTTTTTTTTTAATTTTAATCAATAAAGAATATGACTTCTTCTAATTATATGAATCATAAGACATTTGTTTCAAAATATTTCCCGAACTAATCATTTTTCGACATTGTATCCTGATACTTTCTTATTCCGAATACAGGAGAAATTAATTAAAAAAAAAAAAAAAAAAGAAAAAAAAAACAGAAATTCATCGAAAAGAAAGAAATGATTTTGAAATCTCGTAACATAAAAATCTTGAGAAAAAATCCTTTCCGCAATGAGATATGCCCATTGAAATAATAATACTTTTGTTCTGAGTATTTTTTCTATAAAAACAAAAATAACAAAATTATTTAAATGGCCTGTTTTATATATCTCATCTTATATAGATAGATAAACTAGACAAACTAGATATATTGTGTATATGTATATATATATATATTTTTTTTTTCTCTCGTCGAAATTAAATAAAGCTTTTAAAATAATCATTTCTCGTTTTATTCTTCTCGTACAATCGTCAATCATATCGTTCTTATTGCACGTGTGATGCAACTTTCAATGTAAATTCGTTGGAAAAACATCTCGAGGATAGAAACTGTTCTTTCTCTCTCTCTCTCTCTTTCTCTCTCTCTCTCTCTTTCTCTCTATCTATCTATCTCTACCTCTATTCTGTAGGTCGCCGTTACTGTGTCGATAGGATCTACGGTAACCCGTCCTAATGCAACAAAAAAAAAAAAGAAAAGAAAATAAAAAGAAATTGTAAAATATTCTTAACTACTTAGTCTCAAGAAGTTAATAATATTTGTACAACTGACACTTTAAACGACCTACTTCGTACCAACGTTTTCCAAACCTCTTAAGATTCCTACATATTCTTTTTGCCATTTTTTTAGAACATCATATTACTATTTACCGTTGCTAATTTTGTCTTTAATAGATATAATCTTGATATAGCTAATCATTAATAATAAAAAATGAATAATACATATTAATATTTAATCAAATAATTAACGATCTTATAAAGATCATCGTAAAATCTATGTTCGTCTAGATTTAGTTACGTAATAACAAGCATGTGCATACATTCTCGATAAAAAATGAAAGAGACAACGACAATAGGGTAAAAAAAAAAAAAGAAGAAAGAAAAGGTGCAAGGACAACCAATGAAATAACGAAAAGCGGCTACTTGTTCGTAATTATGATATTACGAGTTTTCTATGTCCTGTACACGGACGTAGTTAATTTTAAAAGCACACCGTAATCCTTCCAACGGAAGAGGGGTAGGGAGGGAAGGAAGGAAGGAAGGAAGGAAGGAAAGAAAGAAAGAAAGAAAGAAAGAAAGAAAGAAAGAAATGACATGTCCATGGAGAACAAAAGAGGTCCCTCTGGTGCAGGCACCAAGCGGTTAACCATAACTCTCTATGTATTTTTTCTTTTATTTTTTTTTTATTTTTTTATTTTCCTTTTTTCTTTTTTTTTTTGTCAGTCATATCGTCGGTCATCGCGGCTTTCATTGGGAATACAATGGACATAAGTTTGATTGGGTGGGGGGCAAGACACATCCGCGATCAAAATGATTTTTGAAAACAATCGACGATACAAAAGCAGGTGATACCCATGTATAGTACGTAATAAAATCACAGAGTTTATTATATTGAACGGATAGGTTAGATATAACAGATGGTTATGGGAATCACGATGCCCGATTTACATGAGGCTCGCTTTTGAATCGTCAACTTTCCTAACTACTTACGTACGAGTCCACCTGCCCGAAGCTTCGTGTAACGAAGTTTCACGCATGAGAAGCTATCCGTACCCCAACCACTATAATAATTACCATGTCCAAAGGAAAGAGCTCCCTAATGACAGTTCCTACCACTAAATTCAAAGCTCTTTCCACGATCGATTACGACCTCGCACGCGATTTTGATGAGAACCGTAACGACGATTATTAAGAATTTTAATTACAAATACGGCTTCTCTACATACGATTATGAAAAGTCGTCCGGAAGGCACGGAAGCGACTTGGCAGGTGTTTACAGCCGACCGGGCAATCCGGCAAATCTCGAATGGCATCCATAGGGACTACAAATTCCCAACGTGACAATCGTCGCGTCCGTCAACGAGTAGGGAATAAAAAGAGCGACGAGGGTTAGGATCGCGACTGGGAAAAGGGGACGGGGGTAGGTGGCGCGAGAGGGTGGACGCCGAATCGACACAGGGTGTTTTAAAACGAGTGCTATCGATAATCGAAATCGCTCGGGGGTTGTGGTTGCCCGGGGCTCTGGGGTAAAGCTCTCTCTCTTTCTCTCTCTCTCTCTCTCTCTCCTCCCTTTCTACTCTTTCTCCCTCGCTCTGATCGTCCAACGCATTCTTCTATCTCTTTCTTTCTCTCTGTCTCTCTTATCCTCGTCTCTTGCGTCCTTTCCCTTCGTCACTCTCTCACTTTCCGTCGGACACATCGAGAGAATCGTTCTCTCTCTCTTTCTCTTTCTCTCTCTCTCTCTCTCTCTCTCTTTCCACTTCCTTTGGCATCCATGCTACTCTCGGTCTCTGATTCCAGTCTCGAGGGTGACCAGCCGCGAACATCCCGTTACCTAAACCACCACCATCGTGATACTTGTCTACCCTATCCTATCTGAATCTGAAACCTGCTAGCAATGGTTCCTGGAATCGAGAAAAGGGATTAACCAGTGTGACGACGATTCGACGACGACCTACCGATTAGATTGAAACGATGTGTTATTAGAAAAACTTACGTGATCATTTGCAATACCAGTATGAATTTTATGTAATATCTAATTCTTTCCCCCCCCCCTCCCTTTTAAATATAAATACTCAATATGATTACTCTCATTAAAAGACCACGACAAATATATACTCCCTCGATATTTAAAATTCGTACCCTTTTTACATTGCCGGAACATTTCCGAAGGGATCTTTTCTTTCTCATGATACTTCCGCGAAGAAACCGCAATAAATAAATTAAAACTTAGTTACCTCATGCGTACATTTCCTCTTCCGTTTTCTTTCCACGGAACTTAACGAACGGACGAACGAACGAAGAAAAAGCAAATGGCAACCACATAAATAACGTAACCGAAGCTTCATCTTACAATTATCGCGAAAGCAACGAAGCGCCGAGGTGGTAAGTTATTTAATAATTCCGGCCTGTTATCCTCGCTCCTGCAAATTTAATAAAGTTAACTTCGAGCAAGAGTATTGGCACACTCCAGTAACTCTTTTGAGAATGCAATGCGTCGTGAGTTGTTGCCACTCTAAAGACACAAACGCCTCTACCTCTCGTATCTTTTCCCATGGAGAAGCTTCTCTCTTTGAAGGAAATTCGATACGAGATGGGATCGACGAAATCCTCGTAATATAACGTGATGTCATCGAAAAAAAAAAAATCAGAACTATAAGAAATGAGAAATCGTCGATGAATATTAAAAAGTATTTACGTCTGATCATCAATATGTATCATAACAAATTTTTTTTCTCCACCGATCACCATCTATCAAAAACAAGTGATTTCATTAAGAAAAAAAAAAAAAAAAAAAAAAAAAAAAAATAAATAAATAAATAAGTATGAAAAAAAAGGAGGATACATTGAATGCCTAATAATAATAAATTTTTTTACCTTCGACGAATGATGAATGATCGTTCTTCGATCGTCAACTTTCATATCCTTTATTCCTATAGGGCCAGGATCGCTATGAGGAAGAAATTTATTGATTCCATCAAATCACCCGATAAAGCGTACTCATGTGGTTATAAATCTAGTTTCTCTTTTGGTATCCACGTTGATATCCGTATCAGAAATGAACGAACAACGACGTTCGAATGAACACACGTGCAATATCCGTTCGATGATGACAACAACTACGATCGTGATCACGATCACGATCACGATCACGATCACGACTACGAATATGACCACGATCACGACCACGTAGACGACGAGGAGAAAACCCTGGTTTCCACGAAAACTGTATTCCTTTCTGAACATGGTTGGAGATACTGAAAGGCAATGAAAAATTTAATAGAAACCACCCGGATGATCGATGTAAGATAGTTTACAGAGAATAGCGAAGATTACGAATAGAAGGGTCGGGCTTTGGATCCCGGGCATCTCGTGGTACAAACGTTCTTTCGAGATGAGCGATCGACCCCATGAGACTCGGTAGGACTCACGTAGTCTGATCTTCTCGTGCATCACCCCCTTTTAACCACCCCTTAGATGCACGACGAGAACTCGTCACTCGTTTTATCTCTTGACGGGTCCTATGTCCTTCACGGATACGTATAAAGTACTTTTGAAACAATGTAACAAAATTTACTGATATTAAAGTTCACAAGTATACGTACGATAGATTGACGTTAAAATCTAAGATAAATGTATCAATATATTTCTTATTATTATTATAAGATATATATATACATATATGTATGTATGTATGTAATATCTGTTTCGTGTGTAAACGTATGTAGATTTTGAAAGTTATTGAATCAAATAGAAAATATTAAAAGAAAATTCTCACAAAATCGTTCCGATCTTTATCCGTAAAAGTCACGAATGATATTCGTCGAAAATGGAACTCCGCTAAATCGCGCGTCCAGGCTTTAACGAATGCCTCCGGGGAATACCATGAAAAGAACGAGCAAGAAGGATTTTATGAAAATTACTTTCGAATAAAAAAGTAAAACAGATAAAAACTAATGTATGCGGGGGGAAGAGGTGGCGGGTACGATAGCTCGATTTACATAGCACAGAAAGAGAGAGTAGGAGAGAGAAAGAGAGAGAAAAAGAGAGCGTAGGTGGTGAAGGGAGGAAAGCGAATAACGGGAAGAGCTGCTCCTAAGAATATATCGGCACGCCGTTATGTAGAGTACATAAAATTGCTTTTACCTTCTATTAACAATTCATATTTCTTGCTCAAAAGTCGCGAAC